ACACTCTCACACTCACACACTCTCACTCACACAGACACTCACACTCTCACAGACACTCACACACTCACAGACACACACTCACACATGACACGAGTCTGAACCAATGAGCACGTTACCTTCTCCAGCTGGGGTCAGGGGGTGGAGACAGATACACAGAGTTGCTGTGAGAGCTGTCCATCTGAGGTCAGAGGTCAAGGACATCGACGGCATCATCATGATAACTCCATTCACACACAAACCTGCAGGAGAGATGGCCAGGGAAGGATACTTGTCTCCTGTAGGGTCTGCTGGGAGAGATGAAGCGCCGGTCTCTGTGAACCCGCTCCACCAGACCATGATGCCTCGTGGAGCGACTGGAGTCCAGCGGAGAGTGAAACGAGCCCTGAGAGAGACACACACACACACACGGGTTTACACGAGCCGTAATGAGCTGCTGTGGATGCGTTCTGTCTCACACACACACACACACACACACACACCTGCAGCTCTGAGGCGCTCCTGCCGATCTGGTTGACGTTGGGCAGAGATCCGCCGTAATACGGGCCCTGAGTTCTGGCCAACCGGACCTTCTGCGCCTGAATCTGAAACACAAGACGAGAACTCATTCAAATCCTGCGCACGCGCGACATCCCACAATGCAATGTGCTTGACCTGTCCTTCATTTCCAGTATGACAGGAAGTCATTATCAGCTCTGACATTTACTCGACTCCTTATCTGACTTCCAAAACTTGAGATAGTTTTGTACAATCTTGCAGCGTTTGTGACGTGATGAAAATAGTTAATAATTCATTAAATCATATGTACAAAACAAATGTAAACTAATTCATTTTCAAATAAAAACCATCAAAATAAAACTTACGAAAACTGAATAAAGTCTAAATCAGTTCATCATTTGTAAAAACTCTTCAAAAGAAATCACTTATTATTAAAGGTTATTAAACCATAAAGAGTTTAAATGAATAGAAATCACACAAAAAAAATATTAAAATAAATCATAAAATCTAAATAAATCAAACTTTAAGATTTTTTTTTTAAGTTTTCAAACCATAAAAAAATTAAGTTAGAATGAATTTTAAAAATGTAAAATCAAAATCAATAATTAAAACAAAATAATTAACAAAAAAACTTCTAAAAAGTTGTAAAACATAAAATCTAAATAAATAAACAATTTTACAATGAAAATAAATCAATATAAAACACTAACTAAAAATTAAACCATAAAACTGCTAAATATTAAAACATAATTTTAAAATAAATACCATCAAAATAAAATTCTCAAAAATCTAATGTAAAATAATTTCCTTTAAAAATCATCAAAAATATAAACTATAACTAAAAGTCACAAAAGGTCAAATTTAAATAATTTAAAAACTAAAATTGATAATTTTCAAATTAAAATAATCAAAAATAATGCTAAATTAAAATAAATAATAAAACAAACAAATCACGAAGTAAATATTTAATGATAGGATGCAAGATTAAAACTATTTAATTTAATAATTTAAGTGTTAGTAAGTGGTTTATTTTGATACTTTTCAAATTAAAAATCGAAATAAATATTTAATTAATTAATCAAACAAACAAATCAAAATAACGTACTTGGTAAATATTAATTTAATGATAGGATGCAAAATATTTTAATTTAATAATCTAAGTTTTAGTAAGTGGTTATCAAAATAAAACACTAAAACTTTATCAAATCATAAGATGGCGAATTAAAATTATTTAAAACGTAAAAATCTAAATACAGCTTACTAAAATCCAATTAGATGACGTCAAACAAATCATGTAAATAAATAAAATATTTCATCTTTAACCGAGTGACGTGTGTGCGGAGCTCATGCTGACCGCTTCCGGTCTGAGACTCCGCTGTCGGTGCGCCTCGAATAACATCCGCCGTGCGATTCCAGCGCCTTTAACGTCTTTCGCCGGATTCTAGACGGAGCAGTGTGTGTGTGTGTGTGTGTCCGGTACCCGGGTGGAGCTGAGGTCCATCATGACCTCCTGGAACGCCGCCGTCTCCTCCGCTTGTCTCTGTGTGTGTATCTCACTCACACACACACACACACACACACACACACTCTCTCTCTCTCTCAGCAGCTCTTCTTCTTGGTTTTCTCTGATGCACTGTGGGCTTGCTTTGTGACATGTGGCCAAGTATGGTGACACATACTCGGAATTAGTGCTCTGCATTTAACCCATCCAACTCTAACCATTAGGCCACGACTTCCCCAACTTCTTTGCTCATCTCTTGGTCTTGCAGGGCTTTATAATGATATGATTGGGGGTCACTGAGCTTCAGATGTTTCCAGAATTTAATTTCTCACACTCTCTCTCTCTCACACACACACTCTCTCTCTCTCTCTCTCACACACACACACACTCTCTCTCTCTCTCACACACACACACACACACTCACTCTCTCTCTCTCTCTATCTCTCACACACACTCACTCTCTCTCTCTCTCTCTCTCTGATTACATACAGCAGCAGCAGGAGGTGAGGTTGTCATGGCAACCAGATACACTGCACGCCTATTACGGCTACGCTTCTATTCTGCCGCACTAAACTTAGCAATAAACACGCTGAAAATAATACACGATAAACATGTCTGTCAAATGAGGCTTTTATTAAAGGGGTCCTATTATGCTCTTTTACAAAGTCTTGATTTTGTTTTGGGGGTGTACTAGAACATGCTCTCATGCTCGGTGGTTCGAAAAACACATTATTTTTCACATTAATTTACATTATTAAAAAAACCTCGATTAGTTCCGGCTTTGATGAAGCTCCGCCTTCCGAAAAACTAAATGTGTTGTGATTGGTCAGCTGTCCCAGTGCGTTGTGATTGGCGAACAGCTTAGACGGTGTTTCAGTACTGCCCCGCCCCTTGCTCCGTCTTTCAACAAAAGCTTTTGGCAA